TGTGTAGCACCATGAGGTGGTGGCTTACTGGAAAAGATTCTAGCCTACATCCGTCTCAGGTGGAAGAATCATGGCAGCTCTCTGACTCTGCTTCTTTCCCCCAGCATTCTGTTCTGTCTACTCCGCCTATCTAAGCTGTCCTATCAAATGCTAAGGCAGTTTCTTTATTTGACCAATGAAAGTAACACATAGACAGAAGACCCACCTACATCAGGGTTACTTACAGAAACAAGGACAACTTCAAGGCACTACTGAAAGTTCACTCTAGCATGGCTGATGACTTAAAGAACCAGAACCCTGGAACTTTCTGCTTGAATTACAGGCAGCTCAACAGGTTGGAAAAGCCTGCTCTCCTTGGCCATCGTTACTGTTATAAAACCCGGGTGGGGGAGGCAAAAGCCTTGTGTACTTCGTAAATTACAGGTATTTCCTGAAATTTGTGAGCTGTTTACTTCCTGAGTCTTACTGAACTTCTCTGCAGGATGCAATACTTCAATGCAATAGAAACTGCTATACAACCCACTCCTTGTGGGATTTCACTGTGGTTCACAAATCTTGGAGATTCCAGCACTGAGTCTCACCAAGCTGAAGTGACTGTCCCAAGACTGTGCATCAGATCAAAGACATGGAGGATTCCAAATCAGTTGGTATCACACACACACACACACACACACACACACACACACACACACACACACTGCTCGTCATTTTCTGAAAATTCCACAGAATGAGGGAGATCTTGACATCTACATGACCTGTGTGGCTAGAAGTCCCACAGTATATCATGACAACAGAGAGATTCACAGAACTTGACAGTTTGTTTTTCAACCTGTTTAGGATCAAGCCCAGGGTCTTGCCCATACTAGGCAAGCACTCTGCACTGAGCTACATCTGTTCTTTCCTGGAGAGAAGCTCATTGCCAGGTAGTGGTGGTACACACCTTAAATCCCAGTTCACAGGAAGCAGGCCGATCTCTGTGAGTTCAAGACCAGCCTGGTCTACAGAGCGAATTCCAGGGCAGTCATGGGTACAAAGAGAAACCCTGTCTCAAAAAAACCTATAACAGCACACACACACACACACACACACACAACACCAAAACCAAAAACCTCACTCAGGAAACCTCTTCTTAGCAATTGTTACTGCTTATATAACCCCAGGGGCAAGGCCTAGTGAATCTTGTAAGTTTCAAGAACTTCTTGAGATGGGTGACTGGACCAGCAAGCAACCCTAACGATGGGCGTATTTACTTCCCCAGTCTTATCTAGTTTGACTCCAGGAAAACTTCAATTTGGAAGAAATAGAGACACAACAGGAAGGCCCAAACTGAAGCCATAAGAGAAGGTTGTGGCCAGAGAGATAGTATTAGAGACAGGTAGGGCCCCTGATACAGGGCTTTCTCACAGCTGGCAGGCTTGAGTCTTCAGGGCAAAGGAGCTGCTATTTGTAGTAGCAAACACACACATGCGCGCGCGCACACACGATACAATATACCAAGAACAAACAAACAAACAAAAGTGGTAGAAGTAAATACCTAGCTGAAGGAAGCAGACTCCTACAAAAGCAGCAGGCTGCCTGCAAAGGTCAAATCAATCAGACCCACACAGCTTCGAAGGAGAGAAGAAAGACTTTGGAGACCAGCTCCTAACTCTAGCTGGGAATCAAGCCCCAGATGTTCCAGCTCTCTTCAGAGGAAGAAGCTTCATGGCTTCGAATTATACTCACCTGGATAGATAGATGCCTGAGGCTTCTGCCCTCAAGGCAACCTCCAGGACTCAGCCATCACCAGTAGAGAGACTTGTTCCTGACTCCACCTTCAAGACTTTTCACTCAGATCGCTTCAGGAAGGGAACTCTTCCCTGCATCTGCTTCCAGCCTCTAAGACCCTCCATTTCTGAGACCAGTGGCTCGAACTTCTAGACCTGGAACTGCAGATCTGTACCTGTGTTGGAGGGAGGTGCCACTTCTTTGATTCCCGGCCTCCCAGCCCCAAAATAATCACACAGAAACTGTATTAATTAAATCACTGCTTGGCCCATTAGCTCTAGCTTTTTATTGGCTAACTCTTACATTAACTTAACCCATTTCTATTAATCTGTATATTGCCACGTAGCAGCGGCTTACCATGAAAGATCTGGCATGTCTGACTCTGGCAGCTCCATAGAATGTCTCTCTCTCTCTGCCTTCCTTTTTCCAGCATTCAGTCCAGTTCCCCCCCCCCCAGCCTAAGTTCTGCCCTATCAACAGGCCAAGGCATTTCTTTATTCATTAATGGTAATCACAGCACACAGAGGGGACGCCCACATCATACCTCCAGTTTTGGGAACTCCTGTCAGTGATCTGCAGACTTCTCAAAAAGCCACTCTTGGTTGGTGCTACCAAGAGCTCAAACCCATGTCATTTTAACCCTGAATGCTTAAAATTTATCTCATGTAAGATTGTTAATCCCAAACAGACAATAAAGAAACCCCTCCAATTTATATTTGATTTTTAGAGGTGGGTGGGACAAGAACTTGGTTGGAAATGGGAAACGGTCTCCACCAACCACTTCGATGAGACCCGAAAATTCAGGGATGTGATGGTGGCAATCTAGACCTTATTTCCAGTGGGTGGGGTGAGCAGTAATGAAAAGACTTCCCGTAGGAACATGCCCTAATCTGATTTGAATTCGAAGTCCATCAGGGGTCCTGCGTGGACCATGGAACATGGGTGTGAAGCAGGTTGTATTTCTCAAGGCGGCCACAACAGTGTCTCCTGCCAGGATTATACACATCAGTAATTAACTGCGAGTTACCAATCATCAGTGTCACATTAGAGAAACAAAAGTGCTTCTGCCTGGTGTCATCTAACCAAGGGAGAGTCCAGGTTTGACTTCTCGACTTCATGCTTCCTTTGTCTTCAGGCCTCTATCTGTTACAGGGTTCGGGAATTTTTACCTGTACCTGTACCTGTATCTGTCTGTTCTGTCTGTTTCTATGCTGTATGAGCTCTCTCTCTCTCTCTCTCTCTCTCTGTGTGTGTGTGTGTGTGTGTGTGTGTGTGTGTGTGTGTGTGGTTCTGTCTTTATTGAACAGCACAGAAAGCATCATATGGAGAAGGAATGGATTTACAAGGGATGAAGTCACTTGCTCTATTTGATCTTAACTGGCCCAGATAACAAGCATCACTGTTTATCAACCAACACCCACAAATAGTTGCTTTCAAACTTTTTGGCAGATTTAAGAAAGTTGCTTCCAACCCTGTATTTGCTGCTTTCAGCAAAGGATTCACATGCACTATCTGAGTCAGGAGCATGGAAAAGCACATAATTGAAGATTACAGCTCTGCATTATCTAAGGGTGCATAAAGTTGATTACATAGGACATCCAAGGCAAGTGGAGTTGATTGTTACATTGTTCTCTGAAGGTAAGTTAAACAAACAGGCTGAGTATATAGAAGGAGAGCAGTCTTAAGTGACCAAGGCGTATTATTAACTCTGGCTGTGAGGTCCAGCAGAAGTTTGCAGGACGTAAGAGTTCTTTTCATAATATTGCATCACGACAGTCTCTCCTCCTAGATCCACCTGGACAAACTCCACTTGACATGTCTTCCTTACACTGAGAAAGGGGGCATCTGTGTCTTCCTGAATCTGTGCCAGAAGAGGAAGTACTCACACAAGGTTTCCAGAAAGGCTCATGCAAACTCTGCACTGCTAACCTTTAGAGCCCTACATACACACCTAAAGCAATCCGAGTACCCCAAAGCTACCTAACTAGGAGGAAGGCAAGGACACATATAGAGGCCCACAATGGGCACTCGATCCCAGTGGAGGTCCAGCCAGGGACAGGCAGCAGTTGTAAGACCTGAGCTTTAGTTAGATATGGTTTCTGCCACAGTCCATGTGTTGGAAGTTTGTACCTCCTAGTGGCACTGTTAATAGGCTGGGCATGGCAAAGGGAGCCTATATCACAAGGAGTTTGCCTTCAAAAGATAGTTCTCCTGGGACCGAATTAGTTCTTGCAAAAGTCAATTTGTAGGGGTGGAGAGAGAGCTTAAGTAGTTAAAAGTGCTTATTCTTCCAGAGTATCCAGGTTGTGTTCCCTCAGCCATATGTCAGGTGTTTCACAACTGTAACTCAAACTCCAGAGGAATCTGATTCCTCTGGCCTCTGTGGACACCCAGACCCATCTGACATACACAGAGACACACAAATACACATAAATAAAAAAAATCTTTTTTGAAAGTTGTAAGAATGAGCCCAAACGCAGAATTTCTCTCTTCCTGTCTCAAGATGTGCTGCTGTGATATCACCAGCTCTGAGGATGTCATCAGAACCAAGACTATGCTAGAACTATGCTATGGACCTTCAGAGCTGTGAAACTAATCTACTTTATAAAGTCGTCCAGTCTCCAGTATTTCCTTATTAATTAAAAAACTAGAGCCTCTGAATGCATATGCCTCCAGATGATCCTACATCCACTTCCTCTTATTTTCGAGACATCCCTACCCTTGCTGTGTTCTCCACTATGTAGACAATATAAAGCGGACGATATCAGCAGTGATGAGCAAGCATCACGGCTCTTTGACACCACTAAATTTGAGGATGGTTTGCTAAACTGCAGTAGTAATTACGAGTTGAGTGAGGAAATTGGGTAGGGTGGAAGGGGCAAGGAATGGCATTAGGGTAACCAAAGAGTCGTGGGCGAGGTATTAAGTCATGTGCGGACTCGATGTACAGGAGGAAAGACGTGGGATTATATGTACTTTGGATGTGTTTTTTGGAGACCGGACAGTATTTGCTGCATGCCGTCATACAAGGGGATGCTTCTGAAGGTTCAGCATAGGTCATGACATTTGTAGTTGAAGAGGGGCCATCGGCCCAGCACCCCAACATGTCCCCTCCCGGCCCCAGACGACTACATCTCCCAGCATCGCCTGCTCGGGCCGCGGGAAGGGAAAAGAAAAAAAAAAAAAAGTTAAGGCCAAGCATTCCCGGAATGCGCTTCCTGCCGGCGCGGGCCGGGGGGCGGGCGGGGCGGACGGGGCGGGCGGCCGCAGCCCCGGGGCGCGTACTCGGCCGGGCCGAGGCCCCAGCATGGCCGAGCCGCTGCTCAGGAAGACCTTCTCCCGCCTGCGGGGCCGGGAGAAACTTCCTCGGAAAAAGTCAGATGCGAAGGAGCGAGGTGAGTGCGGGTGCTCGCGGGGAGGAGGAGATGGGAGCCCCGCCCGGCCTGGGGTCCCCAGATCCGCGGTAGGAAACGCAGCGGAACCTGGGAGAGTAAGCCGGGGCTGATCCCTGCTGCAGGAGAGGAATATGGACCAGATCGTTGCAAGGCGGGGGGCAGCGGACCGTTATGTGGGGCTGGCCTAAGATGCCAGCCCCGCGGGTTCCTTGGGAGGCCCGGGAGCGGAGCCTCGCCCCTGACAGGAAATGGGGCCTCGACGGGACGCCTGGAGGGTGGCCGGAGGACCCGCTGTGCCACCCGGCCAGGCGGTGAGCACTGGGAGCTCTGTATGATGAGAGATGGAGGGCGCACTCCTGTTCCCGAGAAAGGTACTCCGGGGTTATACCTGTTAACGCAGCCTTTCTCCACCTCCGTGCCATCGCCGCACCAGAGGGTGCAGCCGCACCTACCGTGGGCAGCCCCAAAAAACTGTCCTCCTTATTCCGAAAGGGAAACTGAGGCATGTGGCTGTTGGGTGATTTGTCCAGGGCCTGTAAACTGACTTTAAACAATCCTTTGGACTACACCACTGATGACGGAGACGTGAAGCAGAGTGCTAGAGGGTAGGAATGGGAGGTGCTTAAATCTGGGCGTCCATAGGCAAGCAAGACAGGACCTTAGAGAAACCATAGCTGTATGGGGCAGGGAGCCTGGAAAGGAACCAGTCAAAGGAGGGAGGCCACCACACCATGAGCCTGACCCCTCCTCCCTGGCCTTTCCCAGTGAGTCCCAAGGTTCCCAGGGCCAGAGAAGGGACCCGAGTGCCCACACATAAACACACACAGGAAATCAACCATGATGTCAGGGAGAGAAGGGAGCCAAGACGGGGTGGGGGTAGGGGTGCCAGGGGTGTATGGGGCACTGAGTGTAGAAACCTGGCATGGGCTGAGGAGCAAGGTCTGGGAGGACCTTGGGGCAGAATTTGGAAAGTGGTAGAGGGGGCTGAATGAGAAAGAAGCCAGCTCTTCTTGTCATATTTCCTGTCCTGCCTTCAATTCCGCAGCATCTCCTGGGGCAGTGAGCTGGACTGCAAAATCCTATTGTCTAACACTGTTTCTCACACTGAGCTCCCTCACTCAAGCCTTGGGGGGTGGTGGGGGACACACATAATCTCCTCATAAACAGGACATGGGGCCCAAGAAGATGACTCACTTAAGACCACTCAATGAGAAGTAACAGACATGAGACTCCAAACCGGGATTGAGAGATCTCAAGAGGGGAGGAGACAGAGCTAAAATGACCTGAGGGTCCAAGAATATCTGACCTGGAGTCACAGCGAGTTACAGTTCCCCCTTGGAGTGCTAGGGGCTGGAGACAGGGGACCTCCAAACTTGAGACTGAGAAGGTATTGACTAGTTGCTAGGACCAAACAAAACAATAGGTCCCAAGGGGCAGCGACTTAGGCTCCCGGATGGTAACGGGCTTCGACTCTGTAAGTGAGGGCAGAAGCAAAGTAGCTCAACTGTTGCCGTGGGCCAGACTTGAGCGCTGGGTCTTACTCCCTTGGTTTTCCACCAGGCCGCCCAGCCCAGCGCTCAGAGCCCCACCCCCCAGAACCAGAGCCTCAAATCATTGAAGGGTCCCAGGCTGGAGCAGAGGGACCTCCCAGCCCAGAGGCACCTCGGAGCCCTGCTCGGGGGGCCTACCTGCAAAGCCTGGAGCCCAGCAGCCGCCGGTGGGTGCTAAGTGGAGCCAAACCACCAGAGGAGATATCTTTGGGGCCTGGGACACCTAGCAGTGGGGAGCCTGCTGGTGAGATTTGGTACAACCCCATCCCTGAAGAAGACCCCAGACCACCAGCATCTGAGCCCTTGGGATCAAAGCCAGCCTCCTCTGATACAGAAGGCTCAATCATCCAAGGTAGGTGCAAAGCGTTACACTCATTCCCACCTGCAAGCATGCACAAACCTCACACTCCAAACCAGGGGTGCCCAAGGCTTATACCCAGCCCCCTAGGGACTACAAGTATCATACCCCAGGCCCAGGCCTGTCACCTGAGATTTGCTCTCCCTACAGGCGCAGTCCCTACCAGCCCCTCTACCAAAACTTCACGTACCAAGTCCCCAGGCCCTGCTAGGCGCCTCTCTATGAAGATGAAGAAGCTGCCAGAGCTACGGCGCCGCCTGAGCTTAAGAAGTACCCGCACTGCCCGGGAACGAGAGAGAACTGCCCCAGCGGGCTCTGTCATCAGCCGCTACCACCTGGACAGCAGCGTGGGGACTCCTGGGCAGGGATCGGTGGCCGGAGGCACTAGGAGCCCAAGGGGTGGGTACCTCAGCGATGGTGATTCTCCGGAGCGCCCTGGGGGACCACCATCACCCACTGCCTTCCGGCCCTATGAGGTGGGCTCATCAGCTCGGGCCCCTCCAGCTGCACTCTGGGGGCGTCTCAGCCTGCACCTGTATGGGCTAGGGGGTCTGCGGCCAACTCCAGGGGCCACTCCTAGAGATCTCTGCTGCCTTCTCCAAGTGGATGGGGTAGCTCGGGCCCGCACAGGGCCACTTCGAGGTGGACCAGACTTCCTGAGACTGGACCACACCTTCCACCTGGAGCTGGAGGCTGCTCGGCTGCTGCGGGCCCTGGTACTTGCATGGGATCCCGGTGTAAGGCGGCACCGGCCCTGCGCCCAGGGCACTGTGTTACTGCCAACCATCTTTCGAGGTAAGACATGGGACTTCGAAAAAGGAAAAGCAACACCAAGACCTCCCACAGCACCCAGGAGGGCTGGGCTCCACGAGGGAGGGTTGTCCCAGATGAGGGGAGCCAGGACACAAGAACATTTGGGACAGAATTAACTCAGTCCTCCTTGCATCTTTAGGGTGCCATGCCCAACAATTGGCCATTCGTCTGGAACCCCAGGGACTTCTTTATGCCAAGCTAACACTGTCTGAACAGCAAGAGGCCCCTGACACAGTGGAGCCCCGTGTCTTCGGGCTCCCTCTGCAGCTACTGGTAGAACGTGAACAGTCGCCTGGCCAGGTGCCTCTCATCATTCGAAAGTGTGTGGGGCAGATCGAATGCCGCGGGCTGCGGGTGAGCATCGGTACCCCCTCCTGCTACCTTACTCCCTGGAACCCCTTCACCAACCTGAGCTGTTCTGAGATCCGACACTCACTGAGGGAAAAGAAATCCTCCCCCACAGCACCAGGACCCACGGATCATCTGTCCATTTTATTACAGTATCTCAGCCCTCACAGAGCTCAGTCTCCTGGAGTGAGAGAGATGACAGACAGTTCATGGATGCCAAACTAGCTCAGAGGGTAGTTAAGAAAGGAGGTAGCCTAGCACGGTGGTACTTGTCCCAGCACTAGAAATGCTAGGGCAAGATGGAGAATCCAAGGGCAGCTGAGCAACACAGTAAGTAAATAAATAAATAAATCGAAAGGGGGTGGGGTCTGAGCTAGTCAAAGAGGGCTTCCTGGAAGATATGAACTGTGAAGTCGGAGAAGGTGGTCCAAACTAAGGGATTTAGAAAGCTAGGTGTGTAACTGGGATTTTGTTTTTTTCTGGTGCTGGGGGACTGAACCTAGGGCCTAGTACATGCTCAGCAAGCACTTTACCATTGGGTCACACTCCCAGCCACCTTTTTACTTTTGGAGACAGGCTTTCACTAAGCAGCCCAGGCTGGCCTTGAGCACACTCTGTAGCCTATGGCCCAGGTGATCCTCCTGTCCTGGCTGAACTGCTGTCCTGGCCCAGGGGCACTTATGACAGTTGTTGCATCTGTGGGAAGGCAGCCAGTGAAGATGCGTGTGAATGGTCCCACCCTCCCAGACCAAAACAGCCACTATCACCCTTGTCCAGACATCCAGCCCCAACCCAACAGTCCTTGCCTGTGGCTGCAGGAAGACACCCTTTCTCTGTCTGTATCCACAGGTAGTGGGGCTGTACCGTCTGTGTGGCTCGGCAGCAGTGAAGAAAGAGCTTCGGGATGCCTTTGAGCAGGATAGTGCAGCTGTGTGCCTCTCTGAAGATGTGTACCCTGATATCAATGTCATCACAGGTCCACATAGCCCCTCTCTCTCCCCTGCCTGCTCGTTCCCTCCCCCAATGAAACCTCCTCCCTCCTCTCTGGTCTTGTTCTCACTTCTTATACCTGCTCTCTTCCTACTACTACTACCAGCCCAGTGACCCCTCTGGTTTTAGGAGCCAGGGTGTTTTAACCAGAGGGGCCCCTCTGTCCACAGGCATCCTCAAGGATTATCTCCGGGAGCTGCCTACTCCGCTCATCACTCCACCCCTCTACCAGGTGGTGCTGGAGGCCATGGCCCAAGGACATCCAAGCAGGGCTTCCCTGGGTCCTGAGGGCACCAGAGGGCTCCTCAGCTGCCTGCCAGATGTGGAGAGAGTGAGTGGCCCTGCTGGGAACATTGGGACACTATAGAGTAGTTGATAGCAGTGAAGCATTTTAGCCATGCCTGAGATGTGGTGAGCATCAGGGATCACCACATCCCAGCAAAGCTCATGTTATTACCTGTCAGTCCCTGGGTTAGGAAACCAAGGCTCAGTCTAGTGATTTGCCCAAGGTCAAACAGCCAAGATTGGTCCAAAACTCACCCTCTACACAGACATAGTGTTACGTGCCTCTACTCCTAGCACTCGAGTCAAAGGCAAGAGGACTGAGTTGGAGACCAGCCTAAGATACATAGCTACTTCCAAGGCAGCCTGGGCTGTGTAGCAAACTGAGCCAGCAGGTCTGCCAGCCTAACGCAAGGGAAGTTCCTGGCTGTAGGATCTTGAGAAAGTCCTTGAAACTGTGCTTCTGTTCATCTGTAAAATAAAATTCATGCTCATATTGCCTAACATTGGGTGGGTTGGATGGAGTTCAAACCCTTCCAGTCCAAAGCTAAATTGTCCTTAATTTCAACAAAATATTTGTATTCAGCAAAATACATTCCTAAATACTAACACCTGCCTATGGCTATGAGAACTTGTACCGGAGTTTCTCCACTCTAAGCCACCCCTAAGTGTCCACAGCGTGCAACAGGCTCAGGTTTACCCTTCTTGTGCCCCCTTCCCCTCCCCCCCCCCCCCCCCCCCCCCCCCCCCCCCCCCCCCCCCCCCCCCCCCCCCCCCCCCCCCCCCCCCCCCCCCCCCCCCCCCCCCCCCCC